TATCATTATCATATATAATATTCCCTCCGTCCCCCAATTAAGTTCCCGGTTTGACTTCACACGTATTAAGAAAATAAATTTGACTTTACTGTGGAGTGCACTGTTTTGCACTGTTCAAACACGTTTTGGCACTGTTTTGCACTGTTTGACACTGTTTTGCTGTAGATAGTTTGCCAAATAAGGAAAGTAAGGAAGTGTGAACTTAATTTAGAGGCTGCCCAAAAAGGAAAGCGGTAACTTAATTGGGGGACGGAGGGAGTACTACATATGATTTTATACTCTTAATAGTCCAAGAGACCTTTTATGACTTAATTTCTAGTTTATTCTATGAGGTTTTTGTGTGAGAGAAAGCGATTTTTATTAGATAAAAGTACTAATTTTCTATGAGAGACCTTGATTTTTGTTGAAAAGTGAAGATATATTTTGCTTTTAAATTTGTACATTTCGCTTTATATTTCTGATGGATTATTGGGATCCAAACATATAATTAAATGGGGAGAGTTGAGCTCAAGAAATGTGGAGAAGAAGATGAATGAATAATGAATTGAGAGTTCGGTTTACAAGAGCTCCCTTTGGGAGTATAAATAGAGAAATGATGGGCCGGACCGCTAATATGGGCCCGATAGGCCCAGCTACATAAAAGACTAATCTAGTACATACAAATGACATATGAGCTGTACAATAATATAAATGATCTAAATGAAATCTGGTAGTCGTGTGTGGGCCGCTGTCCGGGCCCAATAGTCGTGAGACTCGGGGGTCCGAGTCTATATACTCTATCAATTTCACATACATGTCTTGTTAATTTCACAAAGTTTATAATGGTGTGCATATCATACTTGACGGGCGGGTCTACCCGACCCGATTCCGAGACCCGTTGGGTCTGGGTCCAGGTCCAAATTTTCAGACCCATCAGGTAAACAGGTCGGGTCCGAGTCCATTATTAACTTAACGGGTCCGAGTTTGGAACACTACGTTCCGACCCGGATCCGATCCATTGACATGCCTACCCCCAAAAAACCCCTCTCCCCGACGCCCCATGGGGTAACAAAAAAATACTACCTCCGTCCCTTAAAACTTTGCCAAAGTTGATCGGCACGGAGAATAATAAAGTAAAAACTGCGTGATTGAGGTTTGTGCAGAGGAGAGAGAAATAACAGAAACCACAAAATAATTGATTAAAAAGGAAAGTTGCAAAGTTTTTTGGGACTTCCTAAAAAGGAAAGATGACAAAGTTTTAAGGGACGGAGGGAGCACTCACTAAAATTACTAACATAATCGCTTTGTATTAACGATCACACGTGTGTCCATTATCATTAATTTAATCATATCCTAGTGCAATATTAGGGGCATGCCCAGGTAGCAGTAGCATCACGTTGATATGGATCTAAGTGGTAAATATCAATAAAATGTACAAGTGGTAATAAAATTACATTGATTAAATATAGATCCATAGAAAATTTAATATAGGGGACATGCCCCGGTAGCATCACGTTGATATGCAGTGGCGGAACTAGGGGGGCGAGCCGGTGCCGGCGTTCCCCCTTCTCTGGTGGTGGTTCTGTGTGTGTGTGTGTATATATATATATATATATATATATATATATATATATATATATATATATATATATATCAGCCCGGTTCAGAAAGTATTGATATATTAAAGTGGAGTCGCTATTTGAACGTATGAGTTGTGATAGTTCAAATGGTAGGGTGGAGGTTTAGAGAGTTTTGTCTACCTAAATGGCTCGGGTTCAATTCTCAAGAGCAACAATTTTTTTTTTTTGCTTTCTCCATTATTGCTTGTTTAGACTTTAGACCATTTGGTAATTATTTATGTTCAATTAAATCACTCTAGGATGTAATGTTGTTTAAATCACACTTTTGAATTTCTATAGCTTTTATTTTAAATTATCATTTCTTCAATTCAAATTAATTTTAATCATTTCTTCTTCTGATAATGACATATACGGACGTTGTCATTTAATGTCAAGAATAATTCTAAAACTACTTTAAGTTAATATAAGTATTTACCTTTTGTTTAGTATAATAGCATTTTTATTTGAAACACACTACATATACATATATATAAGTTTCGGATCAAATAAAAAGAGTTCTTATCATGAAATTTGATCGAGAATAAATCTTGTGCATTTAACTTGAGATCTGATGAGTCAAAATCAGTCAACAATGCACTATATTTTATCAAAAACTCAGTGACAATTTGATAAATAAATCAAAATTTTCTCTCATTGTGAAAAAATGTAAAATAAATATCTACTAGTGTACCAAAACGAGTAAAAAATGCGCATGTTCTCATTTTTCACGGGAATAAGTCTTTTTATTAGAAACTCACTCTATATGTATTAATAATTATTTTTCACTCGTTTTTATTTTATCCTAATAAAAAATTGTTTTTCAAAAAAAATATAAGAGCACTCCCTCACATTATTGTCTGGTTCCGCCGCTGTTGATATGGATCTAAGTGGTAAATATCAATAAAATTAATAAGTAGTAATTCAATAAAATGTTGAATTATTTACATGTAGAAAGAGCAATGAGAACTATGTATCCATTTTATTAATATATATCTGACTAAAATATGTTTCTAGTTCCTACAAATATAATGTATTTTGTCCCGGGTTTTGCAATTTTTTCCATCCTATAATTTATTTTTTTAGACCTTCAATAATCATAAAATATTCTCTTGACAACAAAACACCCCGACTTATAGCTCTTCTCTTGATAACAAATACGCAGGTTTATTTCTTAGAAGATCGTTAAAATCTATTTTAAAATCATGAATAATTAATTTTACGTTGTTTTGACTCTAATATAGTAATATCAGTCTCAAAAAAACTGCAAAGGATAAGTTTAAAAGTTTGTGGTAGATTTATGCAACCGACATTACTTTTTTTATAAATCGAGTGACAAATAATTTCTTATCGAGATTATTATGTGTATTATCTTAAACTTTGAATTAATAATAAGTCTAGAAGAATCTCACTTTAACAAAGTTTTGCTTTACTATTTTTTCTCCCGGTGTAGTCCTACTTTGGGAGTCTCTTTTTACTATTTTTTTCTCCTAATGGATTAGTAAATTTAATGACATACTAGTATATGCGATGTTATCTTTCCATCATTTAAAATGTAGTCAACGACTCGTAACACGCTTCTCTCTCCATCCGGAACATCCTAGAACCCTAAAGGAGAAATCCGACAACCTATTTGGACTATTATGTTCGAAGGAAGGAATATTCGTCCCTTTTGGACCTTTCTCGGCACAATTTTTATTTTATTTTAATCCACTTTGTAAAATCTGCTTTTTCAATAAAATTTTGTAAATGTTCCTGGACGGTTACCACACCTATGTTTGGTGGTTTTCGGGGTGCCAAAGATTCATTATTTCTTGACTTAGGAATATGACGAAATAAAACAAAATGGTTTACTAAATTGTATATTGTGCTTCTTTATTACGAAACAACGATCAATCCGTGTAATTTTCAACGCAAATTTCACTATGAATCATCCAAAAACAATCTCTTTGTGCTTTAGTATCAAGGTAAGATTACATACATTCAATCCCCATTACCTCACCATATCCCATTACCTCACTGTAGATGAGACTGTGAGAGTCTTTGTTGCATTGTGTTAATGATGGTAATGATATGTGATGTTAAATATTGTACTCGGAAATGACTATGAGCTTGTTTGGTAGCCCGTAATTATGGGAGTATTTGTTAACCAATTATTGAATGGCATATCAACATTTAACAATTCAATTGTACTCTATAAAAATAGATACATAATTATTTGTTTTATTTACTATCATTAACTCCGAAATGACTATGAGCCTGTTTGGTAGCACGAAAATCGACTGGTTTGGCTGAGTCTGCTGAAATTTATGAAGTTCTGGCTGAAGTGGCTGCATTGGCCTATTCTGTTGATTTAAGAAAAAAATAATTTTAAAATATATTTTATTAATAAAATAAGGAAAAAATTATATGTAAAAATAGCTAAAATGGTCATCTACAGTAACTTCAGCCAATACAGTCATAAAAGTAACTTCAACCTTACTTTTTCTACTTATTACACAATTCAGTGCGTGAAAGCAAAAGTTACGTGTTTGGTGAAAAAGTTGAATAATAAGCCTGATAAACCGAAAAACGTTGTGAAACAGCCTCTATAACTGGAAACGTATTTGAGCTTATATCCATTATAAACTACAACCCCACCTCAAAGGCTCAAACTCTCAAAGTTGTGTATTAAGGTTGAAATTTTCATATACTCCTTAGTAATTAAAGCATCGACTTCATAGTGCGCATGATTAAGATCAACGTCGTTACAATAAAAATCAAAATACAAATTTGATTCAAAATCACTTCTTCAAAAAATGATTCTATATCACTTTTTCACCAGATTCACCCCAGTATTGTAGTGTCTTTATTTATTTATTACGTAGTACTAGTATAATATATGGAATATATGAGATGATTATTTATCGATCATAATCTCAATATTGTTGGTTATATTCAAACAAAGAATTATAATAGTTAATTATAAAATTAATGAAATAACATTTTTTGTTATTATACTAGTACTTTAAAATAAAAACAGTGTTAAATAACTAATATTACATTTACTGCTGTTTTTATTTTAGTACGGAGTATTAGATTATTTATTAAGGGGGTGTTTAGAACTGATTATGCTTCTGTTTCTTTTCTAAAAGCAGAAGCAGAATCAGTTTTTCAGAAGTTGGTTTCCCCCAGCTTCTAAAAAACTGCTTCTAGAAGTAATTTGGAGCACCTAGAAGTACTTCTGGACTTTCACCCAAACACTCCAATATCTGCTTCTGCTCTCCGAAGGAGCAGAAGCTGTTTCAAGAAGCAGATCCAATTATCCAAACACCCCCTAAAAATAGAATCACTCCACAAGAAACAAAGTAATGTGGAGTTAAAATATATCTTAATTCACACTCCTCCATAATAAGATATTCTTACTTGCCAAACTTGGGGTTAAAGCAAGGACATTAGCAGTTCAGTTATGCTGCAATAAGAAAAAAATGCACAAACTGAATACAGCAATGGTTATCCAAGTGTATAGAATACAGCAATGGTTGCACAAACTGAAAAATGCAGAATGGTTGACCCAAGCTGCATATTGTTCATCCATGGAGTACTGACCGATGGACTAATGATACATAATACTCAATACTGTATATATGGAGGTAAGGTTGGCTATAAGATGATTTCATCCCTGGTACTAAATATCTGAGGATGGCTTAACCTTTTCTGCTAGGAACTGAAGTATGTGTTCACGTTTCCAGTTGTCAATTCTGCAATGCAAAGTTGGAAAAGAAGACGAGTAGTGGTGAGCTATTAGTACAAAAATGGTTTTACATGAGTTAGATCTAAAAGTAGAGTAATTGAAGTAGCTAACCTAATGGTTTCCTTGTGCCCTCCATCATCATCCAGCATAATCAACTTTGGTGGAGAATTGTATGCATATTGAACTTTTACAGAAGGAAACTTCTCTTTCTCTTCTTCAATAAAACCAACAATTTCAGGGTAGAATACCAATTTCCTCATGCAGACTTCTATAGCTGCTCCTGCATATACAACCTAGAACAGCACTATACTTATACACAATAACCATAACCTTTTTTTATTCTAATGCAGGAAAAGCATTTATAAAGAAAAGAGAATAAAATGGCATAGAAGCCATAGGTATTTTCTATGAATTAATAAGAAAAGTAACCTATTTAATAAGAAAAGTAACATATTAATAACATATTAAAATAAACAGCAAGTAGGGCGGGTTTAAGGAATAACTTCAATTGAGTTTGACTTGTATTCTTCCGTAACAAACCGAAATGACTTGAGGTTGCTAATATATGTAAGCTAATACTCCTAATAGGCTAATAGTAATAGCTTCACATATCAGGGCAGATTAATTTCCAGATTACAAAGTACAAACATATTTAACATGAACTCATTTATATATAGTCATATAAAACTCATGATTGAGTTTTATCCTGTATAGGGGTATAATCCCCATCACCGTACTCTATTATCCTAGTCTGCTGTGAGTGTTGTCTCAATTTTAGGTGTCTTTCCCCTCTCAAACTCATTCCTGCTGTTCATCCACTTCTATTCATTTCAACATGTTTCAAATCGAAGGTCGTGAAAGCTTACTAAAGTCTAGAGTATATGAAGCAGTCATGTGTGTGTATGTGTAACATATATACACATATAATCAACAACTGAGTAACATTCATACCTTGCTTGTGGCATCATTAGAGTCTTCAGTGCAACACTTCAAACAATCAGAAACTACCTCTGCAACCAATAGAAAATAGAGATTAGTCTGAGCACTAGAGCAGTATTATCAACATTGCAAAGATGTGGATATAAATTATTCCATAGTCATGAGACTCATGACAAATTTATATTCCCAGGCAGCACTGTCTCATACGCTTTCATGTACAATCTAGACTGCAAAACATATAATAATATAAGAATTGTAGGGACATGTTATAAAATCCAAGTTAATGAAGAATACTCACTTATAAGGAGTACAATTTAGCCTGAAGTATGAGCACAAAAATGACTAATGTCAAATTTTAGGGATCAATCTAAGTTATTATTTATTTAATTTCTTATTAGATTTGTATGAATACGGATAGACCTTGGCAGATCATGTCAGATCATTCAACTCATGTTTTATTGTTTTTTATTGTATCCAAAGTCCAAACTTTATGGGGTTAGGATCTGCAGGCCTATGTGTGGTTGTATTTCCCAGTCTCTCTCATTCCTTCTCTCTCTATAATGTAAATCATATCAAGCAAATACATCTGGAAGGTTTTCAAAGGTCATCATGGTATCAGAGTCCCTGGAGTCACTCTCTGACTCGAGTCCTTGTTTGATTCAAAAGAAGATAGTGGAGAGGATAAGAAGTGAGAGGAGGGAAAGGGATGGGAGAATTAAAAGGTGTTTAGAAAAGTAAACTGAGCTCAAGAGACGGTGCAGATTTTTGTGGTGGGGGTCCAAGGCATCTCTGGTTGCTTAGAAGGAAGCCGGTCTGCCTCCCAACACATGATGGGGTCTTAACCAAAGATACCTGATCTTCAAAAAAAACGAAGATACCTGAAGCCTTGGAATTTCTCCCCTCTGTTGAAAACTTTAAGATCCTGTGGAACCTCCAAAATAAAGATGACACTCTCTGGACAAAATGGCTTCACATATCATGCCTAAGAACACTGACCCCCTCTGCGCAAAAGAGATGTCAGATTAGAGATGAGGATTTTTGGTTGGCTGGCTGAAGGCTGGGAAAGGACAGAAGGGAATCAGGGCTTGGAGTGCTAGGAGCAAAGTTCAACACTGGTGCAGCTTATGATTTTTTGAGACATAAAGTATAAACACATGTGTGGTCTAAAATTATTTGGAACAGCAATTGGGTACATCTAAACACTCCTTTATCACCTGGTTGACATCATAAAACAAACACTTCACTAAGACTAGGATTAAGTTCACTGAGATCGAATAAAAGGTGTGTCATATGTGGGATTGACTTAGATAGTTAGATAACAATCAACCCCTGTTTTTAAAATGCTGTCATATTTAGAGAGTGGGACGTGATTAAGAGTTGGTTGGGTATGGAAAGAACATCAATCATTCTTACAACTCAAAAGTGCTATCAAGAGAACTATAATGGTAAAAGGGTTCAGCTGTGAGCAATAAAGTTTGGTTATCGCATCTTACATATTCAATTTACTCAATTTGGCAGCCAAGGAAAAAGACATCTTTGAGAATGCTCAGCTCTCGGCAGACGCTCTGTACTTTCCTACTTTCTCCATCTTTCAGCTAATCCATAATGACGTGTTACCTTAGTTTATTGGAAGTAAGGTTGTTTGGTCCCTCTGGACTGGGGTCTCTTGTACTGAATGTTCTTCGATCATTATACATTTATGGAAAAGACAACCTAACAAAGTTTGGAGTCGCGTTGTGGGAAAAAACTGATATACATGCTACACTATAAGATAATGGAAATCATAAAAGAACACAGTCAAGTACAATTTTATAGAACATAAACAACAAATATTGTTAAGTCTAGAAAGGATGAATGGGTGATCAAGTAAAATCCTAGCAAATCACTTCCAAATATAGATAAGCTAATGAAGATATCAAAGTCAAATCAATTCACCATATTTGAGCAAATCAATCAGTTATATCAGTGTCTTAAATCTTCTACTCATACTTGTCACGGCGGTAAGTCGAGTCGCGGCGCCAGCTGACCGCCATATCGCCTAGGCGACAAGGCGCCCGCCTAGGCGACAATTAGGCGACTAGTCACCTATATGTGTATATTATATATTTATATTATATATTATATATATAATTATATATTTACATATATAATTATATATTTAATTATATATTATGTATAATATATATTTAATTATATATTATGTATAATATATATTTAATTATATATTATGTATAATATATTACTAACTAAAATGTATACATAACTTAGAATTGAAATCCACAATTAATAATTAAAACAACTAAGTAATATTGAAAATATTAATTTTTGTAAAAGGAAATAATGTTAAATAATAACATTTTTCTAAATATTTGAATATTAAATACTCCCTCCGTCCCGCTAACAATGGGAAGGGAGGGAGTGACACGTAAATTAATAAAAAGTGGTTTATGTGGTTGATAATGAATTGATAAAGTAAGAATAAAGTAAGAATGATTTAGAGCCACACAAACTTTGCCAAATTCGGTATGAGACAATCTTAGTGGGACGGACCGATAAGGTAAAACGGGACAATCATAGTGGGACGGAGGTAGTAGTAAATAATGAACTAATGTCTTATTTCAAAAATAAACAATGACTCACCAAGTAGCAACTCATTAGTCATTATGAGAAATCGAGAAGCTACTGACTTGGTTTTTATGAGTGCAAAAGTTGAGTGCTCTGTGCTCCATCAAATAGACTAATTTTTAGATATTGAAAATTTGAAATTATGAGACGAGAAATCGAGAAGAGAGCTGAACGCCTGAACCTGGGAAGTTGTCTGCTTCAGCTAGGGGCAAGGCAGAGAGGGCGATCTGCGAGACCTCTTCTTCCTGGAGTTCTGGGAAGTCGTCTGCTTCAGTGCTTCGTACTTCGTAAGTTTATTAATTAAGGAATAACGAGTAGATTATTTTGGGGCTTTGGAGCCTGGGCTTTATAGTTAATTAGTTTCCAAAAATTAGTTTCCTAAAATCTATTTTATTTCGCATTTGGGATTCTGGGCCTCTGGGGATCTGGGCTTGCGATCGACTTGGGAAAAAGGCGCCGACTTGTCACCTTCATCGCGCCTGGACGACGCCTGGCGCGCCTTTTCTTCTTCCGGCGAGGTGAGTAACTTCGGCGACCTGTCCCCAGCGCCAGGACGCCTAGTCGGCGACTAGGCGACGCCTAGGCGACGCCGTGACAAGCCTGCTAGTTCTACTCAGTTTCTCTTTTATTCTTTCCATAATCATGTAATGTAAATTCATCAAAAACCTCTACCAAGCCTGTGAGAAGCGCTCTCAGAAGTCTGGGCAAACTCCTCCAGCAGATATCGCTGCTCTTGATGCCCACAAGACACAAGTTCTCAAGAAAATTTCCCAGGCCTGCTTTTATAGGTTTGCAAAATCGGTTTCTGAACTTGGTTAGGTTCAATGCCAAAAAAGATCATACATGATACATCTGTTTGGATGTCATCCTCATAGATGATTGCTATACAGACAGATTATTTGTATGATATCATTCTTTCAGGAGATGACACAGATGAATCACAAAGGTTGAAGAGACATCTGTCAGAAGAACCTAACATTAAGGATATTGGTAGCTTAAAGCATTTCCTTGGGATGGAAGTGGCTCAACCTAAGAAACGCACAGTTATCTCTCAAAGAAGAAAAAATGTTTCATATTTATTAAAGGAAACATATGAATCCTTATAGATGCTTAGTTTAGACAAAGACAGTGCAATAGTGGACTGAGAGATATCAAAGACTTGTGGGATGTCTTGTTTTTCTTGCACATACCTGACCAGATATGGCTTTCACACCAAGGGAGAGAAAGAGTATACGGGCGCTCAGATACTAAAAGACTACACTGGGAAAGGATTGAAGAAACAGTGCAGAGACCAAGTATAGAGCAATTAGTTAAAGGTTTTTGAAAAGGGGTGTGGATAAAAAGATTTCTTGGTGAAGTGAGTAAAACATGTTTGGCTCCAATTCAAATTGAGTGTGTCACAATCAACTAGCAATCAACAAAACTAAGAATGTGCATGAGTGCATCATGGCACAACTTCCTTTTCTTAAAGAGACGTTGAATCCTCATTGACCTTGCTACTTATACCCTATCATAAATGAATGAAACGCTGACCATTATGCAGTTCTGCACTAATGCACACATTACGCAGACTTCAAGACAATAGTCAGTAGGCAGTAAAGCACAGAACAGTCCCCTTCGTTCTATCCATTTGTGCAAAAAACCAAACCCTTAAATATAAACACACTGCATGTGCAATTTTGATTGGAAGGACCACATAAAAAACCTTTAAATCAAAATCGGCTTGATCACATAAATAAGAGAACTTTCATCCTTCACAAATCAAACATCATTTGTGCATACTCACTGACTCACAACTCTACTTCAACATATTTACTCCATTCTTTCGAAAGGCACTGCACGCCTGCACTTCCTTGGAAATGCAGAAGCACACCTTTTCATCATCAGAAAAAACCGCAAACTTCTTCTTTACATAAGCTGGTGTTACTTAGCATTCCAAATGTAACGTTCAAGAACCAGCCACTAAAACACACTGAAAACATCCAAGAAGCTAAGGTTTGGAAAAATAATACTCCTAAGTGGAGAAAGTTGGATAATGCGAGGGGCGAGGGCAAGTCGAGAATATTGATCTCAATGAATGTATTTATGCCTGCCTTTTATTTATTACTTTCACATTTTCTTTTAATTTGTGCCCCTCTCCAACAGGGACCTTTAACACTGTCTGATTTCCAGTTCAAAAGTACCGAGTACATAGCAGATACATTTTAAAAAAAGGATGATTCCTGTTTTCCACTTAAAAGCCAATTACTACCTCCGTCCCGGCTTAAGCTTCTCATAGAAAAATGACATGATTATTTAGACAATAATAAAAATAAGGTAACTTGAGTATATTTTCAGAAGTTATTGTGATAGGTATATAACATAATGAGGTCATTGATAATAACTACTCCCTTCGTCCCACAAAATTCTTCCCACTTACCATTTTGGGATGTCCCAAAAAATTCTTCCCATTTCCCTTTTTGGAAAGTTTTGTGTGACTAACATTCATTAACCTTTTTCCTACTCAACCACAACCGTGTGTTTCCTCTTTATTCCCACTTTCTTAATAAGCGTGCCAAGTCAAAGTGGGAAGTATTTTTTGGGACGGGGGACTATGATGTTATATGTGTATTATTTTAAATATTTGATGATTAATTTATCATTTAAGAGTGCTAGCAATTTCCTAAATTAGAAATGAGGAGCTTAAGCCGGGGACATCCAAAAAGCCAAATGTGAAGCTTAAGCTGGGACAGAAAGAGTATTTTTGTAAATAATGCACAATTTGAACAAACCAGGACAATGTGGCCTATTAAGCGTACAATTATCTACAGCACAACTCAGATTCTCAGGAACATCTTAATTTCAGCATATCCTGCCATAATCCTGTACACAGCAAGCCAAACCATACCAACATTGCTCCAGAAGAGTATATTTAATATTTAAGTGAAATCTATACCCTAGGAATGTAAAAAAAAAAGTATTAATGCTGGAATTAACATTAGCATTATTTAATCAAGTAAAAATAACAACCACGAAATTGATCAAAACGGGGAAATTAAACTTGAACTTTGCTTAAGGTGTATATAAATTGAACAAAGATAGGAGGAGGGGAAATGGGAGACCTTGATCTTTGACATACTCCGACAGTGTTTTGCAATCGGAGCAGAGAGCAAGACCAGTGAAGCCAAGGTTCTCGCACTCTCTTGTACTCAGCTGTTCCTCCGCAATCACTGCAACAACCAAGCAGTAGATTATCACAGCACCAAAGATCAACGAAGACCAATCCATTTGCATAGCTCTCTGCCTCTCTCCCTCTTTCTTTCCCGTCTTTGTGATCCGATTAGTGTGTTGGAGGAGAAAGCGAGGGCAGATTTGTTCAAAATTCAGAAAGGTATTTTTCAATGAAATATACTCCCCATTTATTTTTTAGATGAAATTTTGCATAAGTAAGTTAGACTTGATGAACCATCCTAAACGGTGACAGTCGGATAGAGTCTTCTATATAAGAAGTAATTTGCACTTTTTAAGTTAGTTCAAGCGAGAATTTGACATCTTTCCCTAATAATTTTATATAAAAACAATTGAGTTTTTTTTCGAATTAATGTTAATTAATTAATTAATTACGAAAATAATGCTGGGAAAAAAATATTTACCGATCTACTGCTAGGTTTAACCATGGTTAGGAAAAGTCGCCCAATGGTTGGGCGATTTATAAGTCGCCAAACCTTTTGGCGACTTATAAGTCGCTCAAACGTTGGGCGACTTTTCCTTCCATATGAACGCAGGATCAAACCAGACTCATCTGTTTGCTATAAATAAGGTCTCCCTTCTCCTGTTTAAGTGTTACGATCCAGATACAACACATTATAAAACATCTTGATACAGAAGTAATCATCCAAGAAAAACACATACAACACACCAGTAAAACACAGTACATACAATCATCCAATATTCATAACAAGTAATCATCTAAGACAACATACAAGAGAAAATACGTAAAATGTTGTAAATTGTTCCTACAACATCTACTGTGCAAGAAAAACTGCAATACAAAAGGCAAAGTAGAAGTTCTCATGGTCATTTTGATCACTCGACTCAGGATCCGTTGTCACCTCCATGCCTACAAAAAACCAAAATCGTATTAGTTAATTTTTAGTATTATACGAATTATACTTTTTTTCATCATCCATTTTATTAATTAACATGTTTTCATGCAACGCTAAGATGAATTGTGAATTACTATAATTAACACCTTACCCACTGGACCCCCCATCGTGTCTTGACGATCTCTTCGCACATGTGGCCCTATTATGGCTGGATTGGTGCACTAGTGGAAAATATGGATTTAATAACGGTTATAATGGACTTTTAATAACGGTTCTGAACCGTTATTGTTGCAGCACCTATTAAAAGTCCGATACTTTTAATATGGGTTCGGGAACCGTTATGGAAAGTGTTTTAATAACGGTTCAATTAGGCTTTTAATAACGGGTATAGGCGCACACGTTAAAAGTTTGGGACATTTAATAAGGGTTATTACCGAACCGTTATTGAAACATTCAATAGCGGTTATACATTAACCGTTATTAAAGATTTTCAATATAGGATTTAATCAACCCATATGAAATGTCTTCCTGCCATTTAATTCATACCTACCTATTTCTAAATATCAGAAATTTACACGTATCATCATAGGAACATCGCAACAAAATAAACACATATGCTCATAACTAATAACATTCCACATTCAAATTGTTTTTATCCAAAAAATATTCAGCAAAAACTAGGTATGAGTTCACAACATTCATCAAAAACTATGAGTTCACAAGACTCGTCAAAAACTAGCTAAGAGTCTAAAAATTATATCAAATATCCGTAGCTTCACAGAAAAATGACGCCCAACGCTCTCGTGTCTCGTTGATTTCTTGACCGGTGAATGACTCTTGAACGTTGAATGCCTACAAAATAAATAACGAAACTAAATGAATAAATACAAAAATCATGAAGTAAAAGAAATAACATGTACAGTAGCAATAAAATCACAAGTATATGAGAACAAATAAGCTAAAACTTCACCTTCATCCAAGAATGAACAATATCAGCAGAAACAACAGTAGCCATATGTCTCATACCATAGTATCCACACTCATAACCACCTTTTTGCATTCAGGACTACAAATAAACAAGGGTAAAATTTTATTACACACAAGTCAATTACAAGTGCAATATCAAATCTGATCTCCCTTACAACCAAAATTCACCTTTCCAGAAAGACAATACTAGCAAATTCAGTGATTATAATATTTCACATCATAATAAACACATAGGATATAAATTTTTATAACACATACAAATAAATATAAATGGTTATTAATACCATTGGTTGAATCCATTTCGCTTTAGAATTCCTTTTATTTTTTGTCATCTGATGTGCTTGCATCGCCCTAATAAAGTATAAGTATAAAGTAAAAGTTAGTCAAATTATAGAATTCCGAGTTTAATTTCAATGAAAATAATCAATTTTCTAAAGTTCTATCTCACAACTCCAAAAGACTTCTTATATTCTTCTTTGGCTTATTCCCCAATGAGCATAAAAAGACAATTGTGTTCTGCTTCGGGCACAACACGAACAACTGCCAATGATTACTGAAATGAAAAGAGTGAATTTTTAAGTTAAACTAACAGATTGAATAATCTGATTTCAAACAAAACACGTTCATGATTTCAAAAGAAACAAAGGATAACCTGGAGGAAGCTTATATATTAATAAATCGTAATTATCAATTATACTTGTACTTACGGGTAGTGGTATGGCAATAAATAACATTCCTTATTTTCACCGAGGTGGGTCAATATGTAACTTTGGATGTCATCACGCTTGTTTCCCACATCTTGGATCGTATGAGGATAAAAAAATCCATATCGATGTGTGATGTGCTTTTGAGTACACAATTTGTGCAAATACCTGCAAATTTAAAAATAACAAAGTATTAAATATACCTGAGTTCATTTCTATTAAATATATGATTCTCACCTTGCAGAGATCTTAGCTTCAACAAGCTTACAGGGAGCATATCAACACTTAAGCTCTCCGGGTATATCACAACCATGTAAGCACCTTAACCTTCCACCAGGCATCTCCTAATTATTACTGGATCACCTCAAACTACACTGCTTTTGAACCTACTGTTTATTTTCTACATACTGCAGGGATCTATTACACAACAATCTCAGTGGAATTATACCTACAACCTTTTCCAGCCTCCCTAATTTGGAAAGATTGTAAGAAGTTCTCAGCTTTGATTTATTTTATCTTTTCCATGAAACTTTGTGTGTACCGGAATTTATATTTAATTCTGTCATCTTTTTTGCAGGTCACTTGAAAACAATGCATTAGCGGGTTCACCAAGTACTTGCTCTATTTTATCACTCCAACCATACTTTGCTTTCAAATTGAACAATTTCAACACTACTGAAAACCGTGTGTACTTGGTGCACCCAGGATACAAAGGCTTTTCTGAATCAACACATAGTGTATCATACACATATGACCGCTTAAAGGCTTCTTCACCAATATCACGTATCATGTCTTCTAAATGATCACCATTATCTGCTTCGGAAACTTCTTCTCTATGAGACGATGTATTAGTCACATTTAATCGCTCGCCATGCCATATCCATACTGTGTAATTTTTACAAAAACCGTCACATAGGACATGCTCTCTTATCAACTCAACATCTAGTCGTCTCTCATTCAGGCAATTAACACAGGGACAATGAAACCTTCCATCATTATCAGGAAGATTTGTTTTAGCAAACTGAATAAAAGATTCCACACCATTTTCATACTCATCACTTGTTCGTCTACAGTTGATCCAACTATGATCCATAATCACCTTAATGTCTGTACCATATGTGACCAAACATGTAAGTATAGGATATTTCCTAAATTCTGTAAAGAGTAATTTACATCATGACATTCTCTAGAATAATATGCAAAAATAGTTGGAAAGTATTTAACTATATTTAAAGTTATAGATAAATAGTGTAAGCATCACAAACCGAATTTTTTCAATTAGCATATATCATTGAGGAATTTTTTCAAACACGTGATAAACATTACAAACTGATTTTTTTAGATAAGCATGACTGCCCGATTGTACATTTCAAATGTTTAAACATACATATAATACTATTAAATCATCCAATAAGAAATAAGAAAAAATAAAAGCTACCAGCTTGGTACACAAAGTTCAAATCACCCAAACTTGTAAAGTTAAGAGGTATCCACTCTGTCTCATTATCTTTATTCTGAAAATAGTGATTCAACTCCTAATAATCGCAAATTGTATATATGTACTAAGACTCCCTATAATTTTATTTATTAAATTATCTACAACAATCTATCACTCAAGGCATATTCTTCTCCACTAGCCAGAATTTTCACTTAACACACAATAACATATATCACAAAAACCATATTCAAGGAAATATACGGATAGTGAAATTTTTTAGATAAGCATGACTGCCCGACTGTACATTTCAAATGTTTAAACATACATATAATACTATTAAATCATCCAATAAGAAATAAGAAAAAATAAAAGCTACCAGCTTGGTACACAAAGTTCAAATCACCCAATCATTCAATGATATATATGCAAGAGAAATGGCTGTAGTGAGGTGTAATTGTTTTACATTTTATACATAGTATTATATACCTCCTAAATAGATTTCAATGATGAAGTGACCTTCTTGTTAGACTTTGGGTGAACCCCCATTGAATTATTCATCCACAAGTCTATTTGGTATTTTTGAACTTAACTATAATCAACAAAGTTGGTAGAATCTCAGATTTTGAACTAATAAAACAAATGGTTCACATAAAGTAGCAGTATTGGAGTACTAGCGGTGGTGACGCATCAGATATGAATTAGAGTATAAAAATAGTAATTATATAAATATAGTAATCCTAGTTTTAACATAGTTACTTTATTATTATTATGATTTCTGAATATCATTGGGTTTAAGAACACTTTCTCTATATAAGCATCATAATAGTCTAAAAAGTAAAAAAATATGAAAATGTTAATTAAAGTCATTTGATATAGTGCTCCTTAAACAAATAAGTAAGTAATATTTCATATATATTAAAAAATACTATTGTATTCAAAAGTTTTTTTTAAAGAAACAAACAAGAAGTAACCATATTCATTGTTTTCATCATCTCTAACGTAATATGTACAAATGTATATAGCAACCAGTCAATAAACAAGAAACATGATAGAAAAGCCTCTAGCCTTGTGAACAAGTGAACACTTTTCTCAAAATTTACTAGTTACGGGAAAACCATCTATACCATTGCCACGTTTTCACTACTCTAAATAAACAAGAAAACGACGGGCATTTTTAGCATAAGAGACTAAGTAGCAGTCTATAGCTTGGTTCTGGTTGCATACATAACACCGCC